CCTACCTACCTACTTACCTACCTACCTTGCCTACCTACCTATCTACCTTACCTACCTACCTACCTACCTAACTACCTACATACCTAACTAACTACCTACCTAATATTGCACACACAAAAATATTGTTGTCTTTATCAAGGCAGGTGTCCCCCTTTTTAAGTTAACAATATGACTTGCAAATTGGAAATACTTTTATTGAACTAAATTCTAAGTTCCAAACTACTTGTGCATTTACAAATAGAATACAAACGGATTATTGTGTGCCCTCTTTTATTCATATTGTACATCTTTCAGTTTAGGTTTCATGTGTGAGAAGTGCCTTTCTGGACACCCCTCTGACCATGCCTCAATCATTTGGTGCCCTTCTCTGCATTGATTGTGCTTTTATTTTAGCATTATTGATATATTAGCCATGTGTTTTTGGCCCTGTTGGCTCTCCATACATAAGCACATGGAGCACATATTGCTGTTTAGTCAGAAAAATGTACTAAATGTTGCAAACACTCAYGTTCTATTTCAAAGGGATCTATGTCAACATAGTGTTTCTTTGATTTTCTTCAGAGTCATACGTGGCTGATTTTGATGGCAGAAGCTCTCTGCTGTATCGGTTCAACCAGAAGTCCATGTCAACAGTGAAGGATGTGATTTCTCTGCGCTTCAAGAGCCATCAGGCTGAAGGCGTTTTACTGCATGGAGAGGGGCAAAGAGGAGATTACATCACCCTGGAGCTGCACCGAGGACGGCTGGACCTCTACCTGAACCTTGGTGAACTGTTCTTTCCTCGTATCTCTCATGAAAATCAGTTGTTCTTTCCCCCCTTTCTCTTTTCCTTTCTTCTCCTTTTTCTTTTTGTCTCAGTTCCCCCTTGTTGCTGATTGTGAGAATCATTGCCTGAGATTGAGCCAGAGATTGGAAGTGATTGAGAGGATATGAGAGTTGCGTTTTGGTGGATGCCTTCATGATTGAGTTGACATTTCATTCCCAGCTTCGCTTCAACATGGAGAGCAAAACGTTATTCGCCCAAATTGCTAAATCTGAAGACAAAAGTTCAAAAATTGGAGAATTATCCTTTTTTTTCTTCTTCCAGGAACAATTTGACAAACAGATGGTAAAAGAGATGGGGAAACTAAAAGGAAACAACGTTGMTTATCAGTTTCTGTGTCACAACAACTATTAATTGACCTGTTTTGTGAATGAAATACATTTTGAAATAAATGCTCTCACAATGACAGGTTTAATATGAGAGCTGTGAAGCTGCTTCCTGAGCTCCTGTTTTTGTGTTTGTGCAGACGATAATAGGCCAAGGTTCAGCAGTCGRCGTGTTCCAGTCACCGTGGGCAGCCTGCTGGATGACCAGCACTGGCACTCGGTTCACATCGAGCGTTTCAACAAACAGGTCAACCTTACTGTGGACTCTCACACACAGCACTTCCAAACCAAAGGAGAGGGACACTCTCTGGAAGTGGACTATGAGGTGAGATTGAAAAAAAAAATAAAACATGAAGTTGAGATAGAATTGCTCTGTAAATATTTATCTGCAGAGTCYCAGACGACCTTATCATGATGAGCAGCAGCACCTCAGCAGAGAGCAGACTGTGTAACGGCTGAACTGAGCTTCTTTAAAGYCAGCATTTTAAAAGAAAATAAATAGAAACCGCAAACAAATCATTTTAATCCCACCGAGTCAGTGATTGTACTGCTGGTCCCTGGGCCACATCTGGTCAGCCAACGCATCCATTCTGGACAGTATTTTCCATATTTATTCATGTATGATATGATCTCATGTATAATACGACCCACGCTTTTTTTAGCTTAAGAAGCATAAAAAAATTTAATCCTCAAACT